ATTTGTCTGAAGAAAAAAAAACCCACCCCGAGCACAAATATTCCGTTACTTTCGTATCGAAAGTCGGAACAAAAAGGTTTGTTAAGTAGTTCCAATTAATGAAATTTCTGACGCTTCAGAGGGCTCAGAAAGCTGTAGTTTTCGTATGTTTTTAGATGTGCGCAATTCTTTAGTAGATACCATTAGGAGGGTTGTTGAGATCCAAACATTTTAACGCGATGAGTTTTTTGTAAAATGAAAACTCACCCATGATTAGGTTTATTGACAATTTGTTTATTTTGGGTTGGCTGACAGGTATCAGGTTTGCAAAAAAATTACATAGAGAAACGAACTATCCGAAGAGAAACCAAAGAAAAGAAACAAACTATTTTTAGACTTGCTTAAAAGCCTTCGATAGACCATATAATAATTTCCAATGTCTCCAAAACATGCTGGAACAAACGAAATTGTAACATTTTGCCTGCCATTAGATTCAAAAATTATTATTTCTATAAATTGTAGTGAACTATCATGAAAAAAATTAATCCGATTTAATCCGAATGTTGTTAAAAACTTTTTTGAAGCTTTTGAGGGTAATATCATATCCTCTTAGACAGCGAGAACCCTTTTTTAAAATCACTCAGTGTTTTTAAGTTGTTAAGTGGCTCAATTATTTTCGAACTTTATTTTATAGTTCAGCATAGCATGCTGGCTATGTTAAATTATTCAAGAATCAACTGGAATGCTTTATCTATATCGCTAAAGATTTAAGAGTCAAAGGTGTTTGCAAGTGATTCAGCTCTTTATTGTTCGACTTTCGATACGAAAGTAACGGAATATTTGTGCTCGGGGTGGGTTTTTTTTTCTTCAGACAAATTTCGACTTTTTAACTAGCCATTTTTGACGGAATTTTTCTATATCATTCGAAAGGTATTGTTGCCCTGAGCTTAAACTTGAAAAGATATTCCACCTGTGATCATTTTTCGTAAAGTTATGAGGGTTTAAAGATTGCCATTTTGACCAATTTGGGACAATTAACGAGCAATAAAATTCGCGCTTTTAACGCGTAAGCGAGATTTAATCCGTCTTATAAATCGTTCCAAATTGGTTGAACGAAGCTTGTTTGCCATAATTTATTTGTTACAAGGAGCGAAACCTATTCTTTTGTACTTTATTTGGCGTGTGGGGGGGATGATTTTCATAAAAAATTTCAAATTTTAGAAAAAAAATGTTGCTTTCTTTTAAATTTATTTCTTTTAATTTTTTTTATATATTACTGCTGCTCAATAAACCTTAAAAGGCAGTCGGAACATTCAGGGCTTCGCCCTGATACAAGCAGTCTTGTTGTTTTTGTAAGAGCATAAAAGTTTTGAATAAGATTCAATTTTCATTTTTTTTTTAAATTGGGGATCTAGTTGTTCTTTGGATTAGTATGAAGATTTCAGCAAAATGAATTTGCATCATTTTGAAACGGTTTAAAACATATAGTTTCATATAAATATCCCCAGAAAAAGAAGGAATCATGCTTATACTGAACAAATTAAATAGACTGATTTCAAATGAATTTTTTTAATTCATTTTTTTTCAGTTTTATTCAGGTTTTGTCTCCCAATTTATAATAATCGATGTTTAAATTGTAGTTATTTGAGTATCGTCCGCCAAAAATGTTGTCTATACAGGTCATAGTTGAAATTTTGCCTGTTAGTTTTTTTACTTAAAAATCATAGTAGATGAAATTAGTAATAACAAATTGATGTTTGTCGATTTCTTAGGCAACGATTCATAATGATTTTAGCAAGACGTTAACTTTGCAAGAAGTTTTTAATTGCACTTCAAACAAAATCCAACTTGCGGCACTCACATTAATCCATTCTAACATTCAGCACTCCAACTTAATAAATCCATATAAATTACTAGCAGCAAAATCTATTCTTTTGTACTTTCTATGGCGTGTGGGGGGATGATTTTCATAAAAGAGTTCAAGTTTCAGAGAAGAAAATTTTCATCTTGTTCTATTACATTCATTTTTTAATGTTACTACTGCTCCATAAACCTTTAAAGGCTGTCGGGACATTCAGGGCTTCGCCTTGATACGAGTAGTCTTGTTGTTCCGACTTTCGAAACGAAAGTAACGGAATATTTGTGCTCGGGGTGGTTTTTTTTTTCTTCAGACAAATTTCGACTTTTTAACTAGCAATTTTTATATCATTCAAAAGGTATTGTTGTCTTGAGCTTAAATTTGAAAAGATATTTCACCTGTGATCATTTTTCGTAAAGTTATGAGGGTTTAAAGATTGCCATTTTGGCCATTTTGACCAATTTGGGACAATTAACGCGCGATATAATTCACGCTATTAACGCGTAAGCGGAGATTTAATCCTTCTTATAAATCGTTCCAAATTGGTTGAACGAAGCTGATTTGCCATAATTGATTTGTTACAAGGAACAAAATCTATCTTTTTGTACTTTAAATGGCGTGTGGGGGGATGATTTTCATTAAAAAAATTCAAATTTTAGAAAAAAAAAATTCATTTTGTTTTATTTCATTTTATTTTTTTAATGTTATTACTGCTGCTCCATAAATCTTAAAAGGCAGTCGGAACATTCAGGGCTTCGCCCTGACACGAGCAGTCTTGTTTTTTTTACACTCAAATATTTTCATCTCCTGCATGTATCAGTGATGTTGACATCTCGCAATTTTGACTCTTCTGCCATAAAATCGTTTTGGAATGACCACCTTCAGAACTAAATTTTAAGCAAAAACAAGACTGCTCGTATCAGGGTGAAGCCCTGAATGTTCCAACTGCTTTTTAAGGTTTATGGAGCAGTAATAACATTTAAATGAACATAAAACTAAATGAAATAACGTGAATTGAAATGAAATAAAGCCCTGAATGTTCCGACTGCCTTTTAAGGTTTATGGAGCAGTAATAACATTTAAATAACATAAAATTAATTGAAATAAAACAGAAAAAAAAATTTTTTTTCTTAAATTTGAAATTTTTCGTGAAAACCTGACCCCCCCCCCCCCCACCCCCACAAGCCATATAAAGTACAAAAGAATAGATTTCGCTTCTTGTAACAAATCAATTATGGCAAATAAGCTTCTTTCAACCAATTTGAAACAATTTCTAAGACGGATTAACTCTCCGCTTACGCGTTAATAGCGCCAAATATATCGCGCATTAATTGTCCCAAATTGGCCAAAATGGCAATCTTTAAACCCTCATAACTTTACGAAAAATGATCACGGGTGAGATATCTTTTCAAATTTGAGCTCAAAAAAACAATACCTTTTGAATGATATAAAAAAATTCCGTCAAAAATGGCTAGATAAAAAGTCGAAATTTGTTTGAAGAAAAAAAACCCACCCCGAGCACAAATATTCCGTTACTTTCGTATTGAAAGTCGGAACAAAAATGTATTTTGGGAATACAAGTAAAGCAATTGAGATCACATTTTCCGGAAAAAGTCTTTGGCTGAGACCTGAAATCAGTTTAAGGGAAAGAAAAAAAAGCTTTTGAGTGAAACTTTTTTCTGGCAGTCTCATCTGATAATGCTTTTGGCTTCTTTGCTGAAAAATCTCATAAAATCATATACGAATGTTTATATTTGAGATCTTCTTTATTCTCCCTTCCTATCTCGAATATCTAAGAAAAATTACAAGAGAAGTTATTTTTTCAGAAGGTTATAATGTGCATAAAGTACAGAAGTTTATCTGCAATGACTTGTTTTCGCAATTTCAAAGATACCTTTTACGCAAAAGTGCGCTCCGTTTTTTTTTTAAATAAAAACGTCAACTGAAAGATATCGAGACTGCTCTTATCAGGGTGGAGCCCTGAACACTTCGACTGTCCTTGCAGATGTCTCAGGTTATTTTCGAAAGTCTCGAAACAGTTTTTTTTCGAAGTTTTTTTCCCTCATACAGAAAGTAAAACCTAACGCTATTTTTTAACGTAATTACATATTGTTTGGCTCACTTGGCGAGCTTCAATAGAATTTGGAATGATTTTTGAGCTGATTTTCTGTTTATTTTGCTGCAGATATTGAACCGGTCAGTGCCAGAAAGCCATAATTAGAGCAAATTGGGTTTTTCAAACCGCCATAACTTCACAAATAATAGTCACTGTGAAATAGCTTTTTTAGTTTGAGCTCAGGGTATCACTATGTTACAGATGGTACTTGAGAAATTCCGTTGCAAAACGTTGATCAAAAATGGGCCTAAATTGAAAACCACTCCAAGCGTAAATAATCTGTTCCTTTTTCGATAGTCCGCTCAATAAATAGGTGCCACCGGGAGAAATTAAGCAAATAACAAAGTTTTTGCCGTTCAGTTAAATTATTTTTTCGTATTCACCGGTCGCTGCGAAAAAAGTTTTTTTTTCTAGAAGCTATATAGACGTGATTATTTGAACTAACTGTTATTTAACATAGAATAATTAGTTTTGGTTAGAGCTATGATTTTTTCTGCCCGCTACAGTCAATATCAGTAGCGTGCCCCCCCCCCCCTCAATTCTAGTTGCCGAATTTTTCCAAAGGGTCCCTCTCTGAACTAACTTTACGACATTCATTTTTGTCAAAATATTTTTTTGTCAAAATAAGGTCTTCATAGTTTTTTCAGAGAGTCCCTAGAAACCGCATCCCCCTAAAAATTTCTGCGCACGCGACTGGCCAATATCATGTATTAAAATTGCCCAAACCCCCGCCCTCAAAAAATTGCGCACGCCACTGGCTAATATCATATATTAAAATTTGAGTCCTGTAATGAAATGAGCAGGATTAATTAGATCATCTCAATTCATTTTAATTCTGATTTTTTTCAGGGTTTCACCGCGGTTGAATATTTTTCGCAAACACGTTGAATAACTTAAATTTGCGCTCAAATTAATCCAAGTCGGTCAAATTGGAAAAATATTTGAACCGGAGTAGTCGATACCTTAAATGAGGTTTTGAGTTTTGTCATTAAAAACTTTTAAGTCGATCAAGTCTGAATTGTTATGAATAAAAAACTCAGCCCCTGCGTGACTATTCCGTCACTTTTCTTTGGAAGCTGGAACAATGATTTTCTTAATATAAATTTCCATTTAATCACGAATTCTCACGCTGTTTTTGAAGTTTTTTGAGATACTTTCCAAATTTGCGATCTGAGTAGGTAAACTCTCTGCAGAAGTTGAGTAAGTTTTCAGAAATGTTGGCTCTCGAAATATTAACGTTACTGAATAAATGATTAGGTTTGTAAGATATCTTCTCAAAACTTTTCTTGAAACCACATTTTGCAGCTGTTTTTAGGTTCAACACTTTCAGCTCTTCTACTTTCTCAATCACAAATCCAGATCCCAGTTCAGTAATTTGCCGTTCCATTTTTTGTCGGAAATGTTTGTATATTTGATCATCGGCAGTTAAATATGACCGAGACAAATTTTGGTATTCTTTTTCTTCTTCGAACGTCAAACTGGATGAATTTCTCACATTTGCTCCTATCATTCTTTCCATTTTTCTGAAGTAAACTAAGTCTTTCAGAGGCCATTTCAAATGCTGTTGTAGAACGATCAGAGATTCGTCGAAGAGCTCTGAAAAGATATATTTCTTAAATATCCAGAAATATTGCAAGGGCAGAAATATCTCAAAAATCATTTTTTCATAAGTTATGAAATGCAAAGTTTTGCAGGATTCTCGAAAGAATTTTGAATATCCGTCAAAAAAATCTTGGATGTTTTATGTTGCCCGTAAATCTTGGTAGTTGTATGTTGGACTTTAAAGTAAAACAACAGTGGTTCGCCGTGTCACGAAAAAGTGGTATTAACTTCCCTTAACTCATATGAGACATTTTTAAAAACTGTGACCCAGAAAAATAGAAGAAAACTTTTTTTATTGATCAAGTTAAACTACAATTAAAATCAACCAAATTTTTGACCAATCAGAGGTGAGGATCATTTTGTATTGACAACCTGTTATGAGGACCACGTCCAAATTGCGATCCATCATATCGATAGTAGATTGAAGCATTGAGAAGTCCCGCTTTACGACAACATCCGTGAAACTCATTGATGGTTCGAACTGCATGTAGTAACCATTTCCGAGACAAATTCTGGAGAATAAGCCACCCACCGGTTGTTTAATGGGTAATTTTTGCCAATGTCGCAGCAACTCCAGAGCTTGTCTCCTACACGAAATGAATAAAAGATGGTTGCTTAACTTAACTTAAATATAGTTTTTCACTTTACTATATGATTTGTGTGTCGATTGTTCAAACACATAGACTCAGAAAATTTAAGAAGGTTCATTTTGAACAAAAAATTATTCGCTCTGCACAAAATGCACCGTTGCAGGTACAGATTTAGGATTTTCTCGAGGGGAGGGAGATTTTAAAAAAATTTCTTAAGCATTAAAAAGACAGTAATTTGTCCAAATTTTCTGCGCAGGTCAAAAAAGCCGTTTTTGGGTACTTTTTGGAAAGTTTTGACAAAAAAATCGCGTTTTTTTGGCGCGCGCTCCTCCTCAAAGTTAGCATATTTTGGCGCCCTAGACGCCAAAAAAAACTCTAGGTCGGTCGGCCAAGAATGGATTTCTTAAAAAGTACCAAAGTAACTTTTGGGCCGGCAGGTGGTCGAATCCCTGAAGGGGGCGTCCGCTCCCCGCCCCCTCTAAATCTGCCCCTGCACCGTTGAGTAATTCATCCATTTTCAATAACTCATACCTATCCTCCGGGATATTTTTAAAAACTAGAGATTGCTCTTTCATTTTTTGACCATCAGCAATTAAATTATGACCGAGATTTATGACCGAGATTAAAATGACCCCTCGCTAATAGTTTTTTGAATACGGCATTGTATCCACGAAAATTTGACTATACAGCGCGCACTTCGAAGAATTGCTAGTTTATAGATTAAAATTTTTAAAAAGTTTCCAAATAGCTCTCAGTCAAAATGGTTGACCCAAAAAAGGATAGAATTTTTTTGAAAGTCTCTCCCATGGAAAAATGCATTTCTGATAATTGATCATTTATGCCAACCTGGAGCAGTTTCTGTTGGAGACTGTGAGGTTGAAGTGCATAGTGAGGTTGAAGTAGTTCACGCGCGACTCAAACGTGTCTGGGATGTCACTGAAACCAAAAAAAAAACAGAGCAACAATCATTTTTAAGTATATAAAATTTGAAAAAAATATCGATAAAGATTTTTCTGGTCACTTATGTTGAAACTTTGCTCACCAAACTACACTGTTCACTCATCTTCATCGCATAAATCTTCTTTTAGTACTGTGCTATAGCAGTGCAACTAAGGTTGAGTGCTATCTCCACAATAGTTGGAGTAAATTGAATTGAGCAATTGAAGAATACAGAAGTGTCTCAAAACAGAGGTATATATGAAAGTATCAACACATCGTAAGGAGCCGAGATCTACTTTACAGGTTTTCTCTTCAGAGCAATATCTGTTCTTGCTCTAGCAATCTTGGAATTCTGATCCTCCTAGTGCACCAATTCTACTATTTCACTCTTAATTCACTACTCAATGTAAGTCAATATCTCCTATCCTCTACGGAATTTTGTCTAATTGAATAAATTGATCATCCTTAGATCTATACCCTCATAAATTCTGACCATTTCAGTTGGTTTTTTCCATTCACGTGCCAGAATAAGCAGATATTCACCATTTTATCAGAAATGCCGATTTAAGTTTTGTACAATCTGTTAGATGTCGTGTCTTATCTCGCATGTAAAGATCAAGTTGCTAGTCACTTACCAACCTAGACAGCCTTGATTGTATCTAAGTACCTACTCATACTGATATTTTCTATACACAAGATTCAAAACAGATACAATTTGCTTTAGAGAAGTTCGCTTGAATACTTGGTCTGAAGTTTGGGTCGTCCCTTGTTTTAATACTTTTTTCTAGTCTCCTCATATTAATCGCTCGATTCTCTTTGGGGTTGAAAGCAAACCCGACTTCGGCTACCGAGCATTCTGGGCAACAAGCGTTTACTACGAGACTGATTTTTAGGTTCAAGCTCCTCATTGTGCGCGTCAGTGTTAACCTCATCTTCTTGCTGATTGCCATTATCATTTGCGCTCTCCTCGTCGCTGCTTAACATAATGTTGCCCTCGTTTTCCTGTTCACGCTCAACTTCAGCCTAGAGCCGCCTTCACACCCAATTTTTAACTCTGACTAGGCACGGGCTAGGTGCACTGTCTCTTGTTGACTTGTTGACCACACTTCGTTTTCTGGATAACTTAGTGCCCTCTCCCTTCGATGCGTCTGAATTGTAGTCCCAAATATCCTCCTCCCATGGTAAAGTACGGTCGGTAGGAAGGTAAGAAGATTAGCAATGTCAGGCTGCCACGGTGTGACAAAATCCTGGAAATTGAAAAAAAGGAGGCGGTACCAGCCCATGATCGTAATGCTCAGAAAGTGCTTGGGCACAAGCTGGCAGTTGAAAATTTGTTCTGGTTTTCTTAAGAAGTTCTCGTTTATACGCATGTAAAATCTAGGCTGCTCAATTTTGTCAGCTGGTCTTTTATAATAACTTATTAGTTCGAATGTTAAATACTTTGTTATCTATATTAGTTCGATTTGCTAAAAGAGGTGCCGCCTCCTTTAGTTTGAGATTGATTAATTACTATGGATGAAAATTTCCCAGACTGGCCACACAACAAGTCCCATGTTTGGGTTTCGCATGCCCTCTTGTCGTTTCTTTGTTCATCGCTTATGCCGACCAAATTAAGTTATGACCTTTGGCCTGTACTCATAGAGTAATTTCAGATAAGGTACACCGTCTGTTCGCCACGCTATCTTATTTTCGGGCGGATGGATTCGTGCAACTTCTTAGTCTAATACCAATCTTAATCTTACTCTTATATCTCCTAGTCTCAATAGATCTAGTGTATACTAGTTTTTGCGAGTTAGTTCTTGGAATTTATCCAGAAGGAGAACAACTGTATTCAAAGATTTATTCAAATTGTTCTGGTGCTGAGACTACAAGTAGTTTCAGCACTTACAAATAAGTGTCAATGTTAGAGATAGAATATGGTTGTTTAGTTAGTAACATTTTATAGCGGTAATTTATCAATAATATAATTGCTTTATAAATACTAGTTTAGATCTGGTTCCACCCATCTGGGGCTTAGAGAGTTTTTAGTTTTTAATTGTTTATTGTAGTGAAGGACGGGTGATGTAGTTTTCTTTAGAAGTTGTGAGCAGTGACTTCTTGGAGAGAGGAGAGATGTAATTGTTTGTGTAGATGGAAGAAGACTGTGTTATTCGTGTTTCAAGATGGGTCTCATTGATCGTGGGTAGTCTTGGGTGATTGTGTCAAGGATTCTGATCGATGCAATGATGTATCGATTTCACTAAGCTTAGAGCAAGAATACGTGCAGGGTGAAGTTTGACTTTCCCGTGTGAAGTGACAAGTGGCTAGGATCGGTATGTGAAGTCAACATCGAGATAGCCATTGATCTAGTTCAATGGGTTTCCTTTGCTGCGATGTTGATTCCATACTTGAAATCCTTTGAGGATAGCGACTTTGGCAGCAAACCAAATAGGTTTGCCATACCAGAGTTGGAATGTAGTCGAGTTGTAATCTCCTTTGCTGCTCGTTCCTTGGGCTCTAAGAAATCTTCATATACTGCATTTGTATAATTACTTCTTGTTAGTTAAAATTTAGTTATAATTTATTAATAATTGTTATCGCAAAAGCTTTTTTACTTTATTTTGGTTACTTTTAAAGAGTCGCTCACACCAGAGCAACTCTCAGCAAAAATAGAGTGTAGGTCACAAAGCGTGGTTGCGGCGCGGTGGGTTAGGCCGGCTATAGAGAGCATGCTCAGCACGTACTTCTGGTTGGTGTGGCCGGGAGTGGGCAATTTTTTATGGTCTCTTTGTGCAGAGTCTCTATATACGTTCAACCTTTTGTTACATTTTCATTAAGTGTTTTTTCTCTGTTTTGTTTTGGTTGAATAATTTTTTTTGGGTTTGTTTTTTCGACTTTTTGCGTTTTATTTGGTTTTAAGAAAATTTGAAAGAGGCTTTCAAAAGAATAGTTTATCCAGTTTTAATCTGGGCTTAACTCGGTTTGGGTACCGTGGGACTTTCTTTCTTAGTCATGTTATTAGTTTGTGGTTTTGTAGCGTTAGTAATCTGCCTTGGTTAGTTCAGCTTACTAACGCCACAAAACCACAAAGTAATAGCATGGCTAAGAAAGAAAGTTCCACGGTACCCAAACCGAATTAAGCCCAGACTAAAACTGGATAAATTATCCTTTGAAAACCACTTTCAACTTTTTTTTCAATGGGAGGGGCACCACCTTGTTCATCTGTTGCAATTGTCCTAAGCCGATTACAATGCGATTCAGATATCACGTCATGACTTCCAAAAAAATGTTCTCGCTGGATGACCTGTCAGTTTAACTGCCGGCTCGGGCTCATCATTGTCTCTCCATAGTTCTTCATTCTCTTCAAAACTTACCAGTTCGAGAAGGAGATAGTCGCTTCTCTACTGCATCTGGTACCTCATCAGACTAGTTGTTGCTTGACAGAACAGCTGTGCTGCATCCTTGTTTGCTGATTGTTAGGAAGGTTGCTGCGCTTAGTTAACCTTTAGTTGATTGTTATATGAGTAGAAGCGGTTTGTTGAGTGAATTTACCTAAAAAGACTTATCAATTCTTCTTTTGTGCTTGCCTACAAGTTGTCGTAGTGAGAATCTAGAGAGCCTGCATTTCCTTTTAGCGATTGGAGGCCTAATACCAGCTGTGTTTTCAGATTGAGAGTAACCAGTGCCTCGATGTCGGCGTCTGTCCTAATATAAGGATGTCAACCATAATCTATTTTCAGGTCATCCATCGACTTCCAACCTGCGTCCATCCGATGTCTGTAGGTCTCCTCAGTTTTGTCACATGGCTGGGACAACCTCACGGATGTGCGATTTCATTCGAAAAGATTTGGGAAGGAACAGCAGAGGTCCCAAAGGCATACCCAGATGCCAAAAAAGCAGCTTTTTCAAGAAATGGGCAAAAAAGATCAGCCATCAATTTACTGATCGGTTTTTTTCTACTTGATTTTGAAGGGAAAAAACTGAGTAAAGTACTGGAAAATCGAATCGAGAGAATCACAGATTGAACACTAGACAACCTACAGTTCGGGTTCAGAAGTGGCAGAAGCACAGTGCTGGCGGTTTGGAATCTTCGAAGAAAGATCCAACAGGCACGTGAAACAAAGAAAACGCTAATATTGGTCTTTATAGATCATGTAAAGGCCTTTGATTCGGTGGACAGGACAGCACTATTCACAGCCCTAAGAAAACGAAAAGTTGTCAACCCTCTGAGTCCCAATATTGGGCAGCTGCATGAGCAGGCTGAAGGTGTATTAGACAAACAGAACAAGTTCGTGCTTGAAAGAGGAGTGAGACCGAGGTGCGCAATCGGCCCCACTCTCTTCAACCTACTTTTTGACAAAGTGTGCGAGAAAAGTAAGAAAAAAGAGGATCAGAGATCGGTCACCTTGCATATTCCGATGACTTAGTGATTATGTCCGGCACAATTGAAGAGGCACAAGAAAATCCTGATAATCTGAATCAGGAAGTCCAAAATGCAGAGATGGGGATATCACTAAGTAAATCCGAGAGGGTTTTAGTGAATGGAGAAAGATCAATTGATAACTACATTAATGGCGAGACGTTATGGAAGTGACATCCTCTGTGTACCTGGGCAGCTCGCTAATGCGGGAGGAGACATTGGCGAAGCACTAGCGAACAATTGCAGAAAAGCTAAGATAGCAAATGGGAGATTGAGGCCAGCTCTAGTAAGTGGCTCAATCAGGATGAGAACGAAACTAAGGTTATTGAAGACTTTTATTTAGCCATCACTACTCTACGGGCTTGACACTGAAGTCATTGAAAAGTCGACTTTGACAAACTACATGCAGTTCTGAACAAGGCCAAGAGAAGGATCCTGAAGTTGGAAAGCAAGAGGACTTGTACTAACGTTCAAATTGCAGATAAAGTTCAATTGAAAAGCATTGAATTAGAAATGGCTGTACGAAGGGCAAACCTGTGGATTTCACTCAAGAGGCTTCAAGTAGAAGTAGTAACATCACTCACCCAAGAAAGCAAGTTGTACAGAAAAGTCTGGATCAGGGCAATAAATTTGGACCTCGAAAAGCTAGACTGCTGGATAAAAAAGTGGCTGCAAAAATAAAAACCTCTAAAGTATAATGAGGAAGTGGATCAGTCAGTTCATAGAGTTGTCGCTCACGCCCTCAAGTAGTCGAATAAGAATTTGGAAATTGCACAAGAAATACTGCGAAAAGAAAAGAGATGCAGATACATCTCAGAAACGATCAATATGCGCTAGATGAGTCGGATTTAAATACACTCGACATGGCACCTTTTAGCGTAAATGTACCAAAAGATCTAAAGTGCCCAATAAAAGATTGCAAAAAGCAATACAAGACACTCAGGTGTCTGAAAGCGCACATTAAGACGGCCCACCCGCAGTGCACTTAGAACGCCGAAGAATAATCAGTTACAGTAGAACAAAAGTCACGAGAACGAAAGTCACGAGAACGAAAGTCACGAGAACGAAAGTGATGAGGAAGAACTAGAGGCGACTGCAGAGGAAGTGATGCACCCTGCAAATGACCCCAGTGTATATCAGTGCCCGAAGTGCTCATGAACATACAAGGTGCTGAAGAGCTTGCAAAAGCATTGCCCAAGAGGCATGCGTGGTCTTACAGTCGTCAGATGCCTGTACGGGGAAGAAATACTGGAAGCTCTCGTTCTCAAATTCTTTCCACCCGAGATCGCCCTTAATCGAGAGTCTAGCTTGCCTTCTGCCAACTCCCCAAAAGTCTGTAGACTAAATACCTAAGATTGGAGTGACTTAGCACTCTATCAATGAAAGTTCCACGGTACCTTAACCGAATTAAGCCCAGACTAAAACTGGATAAATTATCCTTTGAAAACCACTTTCAAGTTTTTTTCAATGGAAGGGGAACCACCTTGTTCATCTGTTGCAATTGTCCGAAGCCGGTCACAATGCGATTCAGATATAACGTCATGCCTTCGAAAAAAAATTTCTCGTTGGATGACCTGTCAGTTTAACTGCCGGCTCGGGCTCATCGTTGTCTCTCCATAGTTCTTCCTTCTTTTCAAAATTTACCAGTTCGAGAAGGAGATAGTCGCTTCTCTACCGCATCTGGTACCTCATCAGACTAGTTGTTGGTTGACAGAACAATTGTGCTGCATCCTTGTTTTGCTGATTGCTGCGCTTAGTTAACCTTTAGCTAATTGTTATATGAGTAGAAGCGGTTTGTTGAATGAGTTTACCTTATGAGACTTATCGCTTCTTCTTTTGTACTTGTTTACAAGTTGTCGTAGTGAGAATCTAGAGAGCATGCATGTCCATTTAGCGGTCGGAGGCCTAATATCATCTGTGTGTTCAGTTTGAGAGCAACCAGTGCCTCGATGTCGGCGTCAATCCTAATTTCAGGATGTCAACCATATCCTATTTTTAGGTTAGTAGTCACC